CCCATCTTCCCACTCCCCCCTCCCCATCTGCCTAGTATCTTCATTTTCTCCCCTCCACAGAGCAGCTGTTGGCTCAGGCTGACAGTGGCCTATGGGATTCTCAACACTGAGACAGAATCTCAGTGCCGAAGGAGTATCACTGGGGCATATCTAGCTCTGCCCTGCCTTGATGTAAAAGCAGTCCAGAGCCAACTTATATATGTGAGATTCTTAAAATGTGTGAGTTGCTCAGGTCACGTCTGACTCTGGGACTTCATGAACTGTAGCCTGCCAGGCTCCTCTGTCTATGGAATTCTCCAGGCAAGAATACTGGAGTGGGTATCCATTTCCTTCTCCAGGCGATCTTCCCAACCCAGGGATCGAACCTGGGTGTCCTGCATTGCAGGCAGATTCTTTACCATCTGAGCCATCAGGGAAGCCAGTTCACAATATTCAGCCAATATTTACTGAGCACCTTTCATGTGCCAGTTACTGTTCTAGGCATGAAGGATACAGTACAGTGGACAAGACAGTTAGGTGTGCTGGCTGAGAGAGTTTATGTTTTAGGATAGGTTGAGAGTTGAGGATGGAAGGGGCATGTGTGCCATAAGAAGTAAAGCAATAAGCAAATGAAAGATCAGACAGTAAAGATCATATCTTATAGCTCTTACAGTAAAAAGATGCTCAAGCGCCTTATAACCAACTAGCTTCATTATCAGGAGCTATTTTCTCTATAGACAGATGCTCCTCAGGTGATGAACTAGCCTCAGTGTGAAAGCCTTTCAGGACCAGGAGACGAGAGAAATGCTGCTCACAGGACCACAAAGGAAAAGGCTGTAACCTTAACTGTGCTCACAGCCAATCACAGCAATGGGTGGGAGACTGTGCGTTTTAAGTTGCTTCTCCATCATTTTCCAATCTCTTGATACTCGTCTGAACCAAATTTCCTTCCATTTTTACATCTGTGAGAGTATCTCTCTGAAAGGGTCTATTAGTCATTTTCAGTGATGAAATGGCAAACATTTCATCTCTTAGTTGGCCTAGTACATCTAACGGTGTTAAGCCAAGATGCTAACCAGAGAGTTTGGTCACCCCAGACAGATGACACATAGCTCTTTGAGTGACAGATTCACAGGTAAGAAAACTGGAAGAACAGCAGGGCTGGAGGAAGGCACAGTTCACTGATGTTTTTGTTGTTGTTCAGTTACTAAGTCGTGTCTGACTCTTTGCCCTCCCACAGACAGCAGCGTGCCACTATCTCCTGGAGTTTGCCCAAGTTCATGTCCATTGAATTCGTGATGCTATCCAACCATCTCATCTTTTACCACCCTCTTCTTTTGCCTTCAACCTTTCCCAGTATCAGGATCTTTTACAATAAGGAATGGCTGTAAGTGAACTTGAAAATGATGATACTTTACCCACCTGGCCCCAGTTCAGGTTCCTTGGAGAAAGAAGATGTGTTAATTTCAGTGAAGGTGCAAAAAGTCAATTCCTGATTGTACTTAATTAAACCAGCAGAGCAGTGCACCCTAATTTGGAAGCTTTATAAATCAGAGATGGCAAAATGCAGCCTGTTTATGATTTGTTTTGGTTGTTTGTCCCCATGGTAATTTATTTAAATTTAGACTAATTGCAACAATTAAAATCACAAACTTCCACATGCAATTTCAGACAACCCCTACCAAATGGACCTGGATTTGTCTGTGAAAGCAGTTGGCTGAATACTGGGCTTGGTGGGAAGAAGAGAACAGGAACTTCCTATTTCAGATGAGACCTGAGCTCTTATATTTTCCATAGCCCCCACCACTCCTTGTGTCCAGATGCTAAGGCTTGGGATCATTGGCACTTATTAGCTTTTTCCAGCCACACTTCATCCATGTATGTTACTTGCTTCCCTGCAATTAATCTAAGAGCAGAGGCTTCAAAGCTCCCTGGCCTCTCCCACCCACCAAGTCCAGAAGTTCTGCTGAGGATCTGGATGGGTTTAGGGAAGGCACTGGATCAGATCTGCTTCAGTGACTACCTGGCAGCAAAGAATTGTAAACAGACTCCAGGAAAATCATGCCCAATGGTAAGAAGTCCATGAAGCACCGGTATTCCACCACTGTGGAGGTGGGGTTAGTGACCGAGTGACTGACTGATTGGATGGGAGTAATAACCAGACTTGTGCTGATGACCCAGCCCTACAAAGGCACTATACCCGGGTAGATAAGTTCATTTTGTGGCCTTGTGAGTCTTTGGCTGTTTACTGACTGCTTCGGAGCTATTGGTTTTCTTTTACTAAAACTCTGGAGGAGTACATAGGTAGCTAGAGTGATTGAAGCTTTGGAGGTACATGTGAAGGAGATGGTGTAGGCTAGGATGGCTGGACAGGGAGGGGCCAGATCCACAGGTCTTTAGGCCACAGGACAAGTTTAAGTTTAATTTTATACCAATGGGAAGTCACTGGAGGATTTTAAACAGAAAATGGCCTGATTTTATGTATGTTTTTAAAAGACCTTTCTAACTGCTAAGTGGAGAATTGATTGCAAGACAGCAAGAATAGAAGCCAGAAGATAAGGAGCATATTTAGAACCATGGTAAAAGATGATGGCCTCGTAGACCACAGTGGTAACAATGAAGATGGGAAAAATTGTGGATGCATTTAAGAGTTATTTGGAGAATTTCTTTCAAAGATGGCTTAATATCAGTAGTTTATGCATTAAGTTCCAGAATTTGAGCAGTATATGCTTTAAAACCTATTCCCCCTGCCTCAGAATGACTGAGGATTCAGAGCTCATCGTGGATTGAGGTTAACAGTCTGCAGTATCACATTCATAATCTTCGGACTAGGGGTGGTGGTGCATACTTTCTCAAGAGGCAGGTCAGGTGGTCTGGTATTCCCACCTCTTTCAGAACTTTCCACAGTTTATTGTGATCCACACAGTCAAAGGCTTTAGCATAGTCAATAAAGCAGACGTAGATGTTTTTCTGGTACTCTCTTGCTTTTTCAATGATCCAACAGATGTACTGTTTCAGCATATATCTCTTACATATAAGGACTCTCTTTTTGAAAAAAGATAATCACAATATCGTGTGTGTGTATGCAGTTGCTCAGTCGTTATCTGACTCCTTGTGTCCTCGTGGACTGTAGTCCACCAGGCTTCTCAGTCCATGGAATCTTCCAGGCAAGAATAATGAAGCGAGTTGCCATTTCCTATTCCTGGGGATCTTCCTGACCCAAGGACTGAACCCCGTCTGCGGTGACTTCTGAAATGATGTCTAATGTTTGCTTTTAAATAGTATGAGGAAGGGACTTCCCTGGTGGTCCAGTGGCTGAGACTCCATGCTCCTAGTGCAGGGGGACCTGGGTTCAATCCCTGGTCAGGGAACTAGATCCCACATGCCACAACTAAAGAGTTTGTATGCCACAAGTAAAGACCTGGTGCAAATAAATAAATAAATATTTAAAAAAAAAAAAAGAAAGAAAAATAAATAGTGTGAGGAAATGAAACAAAATTGGCTATTGGTATTTTGATTATTGTTGAAATTGGGTGAGATGGACAGTGAGCGTTCATTCAAATTATTCTCTTTGCTTCTGTAAAGGTTTGCCACTTTCCCTAATAAAAATTTTCTCCTTTTACATATTTGAAACTTTCTATAATATTAGGTTGCAAAAGTAATTGCGGTTGGTACAAAAGTAATTGAAATGCAAAAGTAATTGTAGTTGGTGCAAAAGTAGTTGCAGTTCAAAAGTAATTGCAATTGGTAGAAAAGAATAGTAATTGCAATTGATGCAAAATTAATTGAGGTTGGTGCAATAGTAATTGTTGGTGCAAAAGTAATAGAGGTTAAAAAGTAATTGTGGTTGGTGCAAAAAAAGTGAAAGTGATAGTCATTTAGTCATATCTGACTCTTTGTGATCCCGTGGACTGTAGCCTGCCAGACTCCTCTGTCTATGGAATTTTCCAGGCAAGAATCCTGGAGTGGGTCACTATTCCTTTTTCCAGGGTATCTTCCTGACCCAGGGATCAAACCTGCCTCTCTTGTACCTCCTGCATAAGTCAACCGCAGTTACTTTTGAACCTCAATTACTTTAGCACCAACCTCATATAATAACAATTTTGTTAAGAAGCATACAGGCAACTACCTGTTTAAATGCCACTAGCTGGATACTTGCTAATTGGCACCTCTTTAGCAATGGCACGCAAAACATTACTTTCCCCTTTATGACTCATGTACCAAGAACACAGGCTAATCTGTTTTTTCTTTAAAAGATGTTGTATAGACCCTTATCTCTCCCACTTCTTTTTTCCTGAAGAATAGAAGAGGAGAGAAAGTGTTAAGAGTGAAATGTGTGCATTCTTTGCACTGGTCTCCCAAAATGTGGTAGAACAGATCCCAGCAATTCTGGGATCTTGGCTAACAAAAACCAGGACACAGGTGTCCTTTATAGAATACCAGGGAAGGCATGGTTGGTGAAGTGGTGCCAGTGTTGAGTGGCACTACTTGCTCAAAGTTGCATTCAACCATTTGAGTATAGTTGTAATGTCTGACCTAATAGCCAGAAGCCTGGAATTCTAGTCCCAGCCATAGGAATCTCCATCTATGGTGCGGGGAAGAATGGTCCTTAACCTGCCTGTAAGGCTTCCTCATCCAACTTCTTTATACTTGGCCTCCCCCAGCTAGTTTGATGGGTTTTACATAATACATGCAACTCAAAATATGGCAACACAAATAAAATTTTATTCACAATTCATTCTTATAAACGTATGTCCATATTACTCTCAAAATAAAGTTTTGTGAGAAATAAACAGAGGGGAAGATGTCTGCTGAGTTGAGGACCATTTCCTAAGCCCCTCTCCATCTCACCCTATTCATTCCCTGTTAACGACTTTGTTTTCCTGTCTTTCAAGTGCAGCTCATCACTGGAACGCCTTTGCATTAGCTGCATCCTGGAAGAAGCTCTGTGATGTGTGGGTCATGAGTTTGCTGTGGCAGATTGGACTCTTAACAAGGAACAGCTAGATTTGAAGACGAGGATGGAAGAGCCAGCACCAGTGGAAGGCCGAAGTCAGCTCCCAAGCCCCCACTACAGCTCCCTGAGGAAAGCCATGGCAGCTGCTCTGGTCCTTGACGGGGAATCCACCATGGGGCACAGGAAAAAGAAGAAGAAAGAGTCCCGCCCGGAATCTATCATCATCTACCGGTCAGAGAGTGAGACCCTGGATGAAGAGCCTGGGGAATCAGAAGGTGGGGATCAGCCTAAAGAGGAGGAGGGAGAGGATTTCCTAGACTATCCTCTGGATGATGGTGAGTCTCTCTGGGGTCACTTGCTTAAAGCCACAGGGAGGAGGCCAAGTAAGGATCCTCCAGAAGATAGACTGGGCATTCAATCACTGACCTACTTCTTACTGATACATTTCTTCTCACAATGTTGCAGTCTTCATCCAACAAGTCAACAATATTTACTGAGCATTTATTGTGGTTCTCTTCTAGGTGATATGGAGGAGAACTCTACTTTTTTGAAACTCCTAGTATAATAGAAGAGACCAATTTGTCACAAAAATTAGTAATATAAGACAACCAGGCTAACTATTTAATACATGTAAGATAAAGAAACAAGAATAGTTGACGTTCATAATAATCAGGAAAACGTGAATTATAATATCATGCGTTATAATCCTTCACTATATAATATTCACTTCCTATATGGATGGCAAAAAAGTTAGGTAAAACATATTAACATCAATGTGAAGAAATGGATATACTCTCATATACCTCATGTGGAAAAGGTATCTGCTTTAGGGAAATATGTCAATATCTATTAAATTCAAAATATGCTTAGCTTATCTCCTAGAAATTCTCAGTATCTACCACATGCTCATGTGCATAAGGAAGCAGTTATAAAAATGTTTGTTGCTGCTAAGGAAACTGCAGGACGTCTATATTAAGTGTCACTATGCAGCAATAAACAGACGTGGTAGATCTATTTGTGTATATGGGTCATCCCTAAGACACATGCCCATGGTGAATGAGATGAGCCATGTCGCTGCTCTCATACCATTTACCTTCCAGCCAGGGGAAGACAGATAGCAAACAACTCAGCAAACAAAAGGTAATTTCAAAAGAGAATAAAAGATAATAGTGGTACAGGTTCCAAAGACAGTAAACCTCTGTGAAAGGAAGGAAGGTGACCAAGTGAGGGAAGGAGGTGGAGGGCTAGACTGCACAGCCTCTCAGAGGAAGGGACATTTGCTTTGGAGGTGGCCCCATTCTGTCCTTCTTCCAGCCAGGGGCTAGAAGTCCACAGGGCCTTGGGGAGCTGCCAACCAAAAGCCTTCACATACTAAGGACCATGGACTTTGCTGCATACTTTACTTTCACTGCCTGCAGACTCACTCCCAGGCCCGCCAAAGAGTGGCTGTTTGCTGGGGGTGGGAGTGATGCTGCTGGTGGTGCATCTGTGCTGGGGAATGTGTGCGGTGTGCATGTGTGTGTGTGAGGTGCCTGTGTGTGTACAGAACTTGGATATGAAGGCTGGGATGTCAACCGGTTTGTGAAGAGGCCTCTCTCAGAGAAGCACGGAGGTACCAATGAGGAGAGAAGAGGAGTGGGCTGCCCATCAGTATAACACACATACACGGTGCCACCTTCACACAGTAGCTGATACTCAGAAACAGTATTTTCACAGCACTTACAAACCAGAAATACTATCACACTGAAGAACTATCTGTGGTCGAGTTCTCACTCCCTTCCGTATCGCAGACATGATGGAAGCCCAGAGAAGTAGAGATAATAAAAAACAAGCGTCACCTGCTTCACAGTCTTAGAAGGGCCCTGGCAGGAGAGTTGATCCTGAGAATACTAATCCTTCCCTCGAGGGAGACTCATTGAATCTGCTGTGAAATCACTGACTTCGTATGGTGTCAGGGACCAGCATAAAGGACCTTCTTATACTCGGCTCCAGTCTCTGGGGACAACACTCTGATGAAACGTCTGTTCTTCTGATCTTGACTTTCTCCGATTTGTACCCTGCAGGTGTGTGGAATGTGCCCGTGGACAGCCGCTATGTCACATTAACTGGGACCATCACCCGAGGAAAGAAAAAGGGGCAGATGGTAGACATCCACGTCACGTTGACAGAGAAGGAACTGCAGGAACTCACCAAGCCCCGGGCATTGTCAAGGGAAACGACGCCTGGAGGCAGAGAGGCCTGCCAGCTGGGAGCGGACCGTGGGCCCCACGTGGTGCTCTGGACGCTGGTCTGCCTGCCTGTGGTTTTCCTCCTCTCCTTTGTGGTCTCTTTCTACTATGGTACCATCACTTGGTACAACATCTTCCTCGTGTACAACGAGGAGAGGACCTTCTGGCACAAGATTTCATGTTGCCCCTGCCTTATCCTCTTCTATCCAGTGCTCATCATGGCCATGGCCTCTTCCCTGGGCCTCTACGCGGCTGTGGTCCAGCTCTCATGGTCCTGGGAAGCCTGGTGGCAAGCTGCCCGGGACATGGAGAAAGGCTTCTGTGGTTGGCTATGCAGTAAGCTGGGTCTGGAAGACTGTTCTCCCTATAGCATTGTGGAGTTGCTTGAATCAGACAATATCTCAGGCAATCTGTCCAACAAGGATGCCACCCAGGAGGTAGAAACATCCGCTGTCTAAACTCCCAACGACTTACTTCATTCTCTGGTCTCAGTAGCCTGTTTATCATCTTCCAATTCTAGATACTCCGTGTTTGAATTATTCCTCCTCTCCCCACCATACACTGTCCTTCTGGAAAATTTTAGCCCACACTTATCTGTCCTACCATCTTGTTGGTTTCCAGGAGGGCAGGAACCAGAAAAGCAATTTGTGCCCAAATAGCCCATCTAATGGATAACCTCTTCTTTGTTCCTTACCCTAAGATAACCCTTTATTTGCGACAAGGAAGTTCAGGTGTGCCGCAGTCCAGGCGCTTGAAGGTATTCCTGGTGCCTGGAACCCAGGTTAGTGGGTGGCTGAATGTGACAGGGAGAACAAGGAGGCTCAGGGAAGACCAAATCCACTGATAAGATGATAGATAGTGATGGAGTGAAACATAGAAGAAGCAGGGTTGCTACACTGTAGCAGAATGTAAGAATTTGTGTGTATCACTTAGGTTTTGGTTTATACCTTAAATATAATTGAAGTCCAAATATCAGTAGTTTAAACAAGACAAAAGTCTGAAGAAGTCTGGAGGCAGACCATCAGGGAAACTGATGAAGTCCTCAGAGTTCCAGGCTTGCTTTTTATTTCCCAACCCTCATTGCCTTTATCCTCAGCTCCCCGGGCTGACTACATCTCCAGTCGTCCCACCATGTTTCAGAATAGAGGACCGGGCAGAGAAGAGCACATACACTCTCCTAAGCTAGGGAGGTTTCCCAGGAGCCCCTCTCAACACTTCTGTCTCATTGGCTGGGCCTTAGTCACATATCTCATGAGCAAAAGAGGCTGGAAAATGCAGTCTTTTGACTGAGCGGCTGTATTCTAAATATTTGGATTCTGCTAATTTAAGAGACAAGGAACGAATGGCTATTTTGGTAGGCAAGTAAGAGTCTCTGGCTTACAGTAATTATTTAAATATGTTCAGATCCCAAACTGTGAATATAGTTCTATTTATGTATTTATTTATTTATTTAAGCCTAAATCTTACACAGAGAACTTATACATAGATACTAGATACATATACTATGCATAAACCACACAGATATTAGCAACTCGTGTGTTGCAGTGAAATATCTGTAATGCCATATAGTTTCAGGTGTTTTCAAAAGGAAGAGTGGATAGCTGAGTACAATTATATCATGTACAAATTATATCATAGTAGCATAGCTTTTTTCCAGGTAGTGAAGACGGACTGGGTGGTGATATTTAAGGTAATGTACAGATGAAAGACTGTGAAGAGAGGCATCACATCTGTCAGACATCCCTGCCCCCCAAACCCCCAGCAGGGTCAGTAACCCTAAGCAAAAGAAGATGGAGTCAGCTTTGGGTGTGCGTGTGGGCTCAGTCATGTCCAACTCTATAGCCCTATGGACTATAGTTCACCAGGCTCCTCTGTCCATGGGATTTTCCAGGCAAGAGTACTGAAGCAAGTTGCCATTTCCTTCTCCAGGGGATCTTCCTGACCCAGGGACTGAACCTATGTCTTCTGTGTCTCCTGCACTGGCAGGCGGATTCTTTACCACTGAACCACCTGGGGAGCCCCAGCTTGGGATGGTTTGTCCAAACCTCACTCAGAGCCTCACTCACTCAGATTTTTCTGGAGTTCATCAACAAATACAATCTTTGCTGAGAAGCGTGGGTCTTTGTGGCCACTGAGGGTGTAAACCAGATGAATCCAGACTAATAGATTCTGAACTTAAAAAATTTCCTGAGGGATTCCTTTCTAATTTCAAAAAAAAAACAAATCCTATGAGGTCACGCAGATTTTTAAAGTTTGGGTCCTTACAAGAAGAGCTGGTGTCCATGTTTCAGGAAGAAGCTGTTGAAAGAACTGCTGTGAATCAAACCCAGTGGGTCAGGGAACGCTGTGCCACAGAAGGCCAGGGACATTTGCTTAATGCATGGTGCTGAATTCCGCCTTAAGAGGGAAACCCATCCTTTTAAAAATAACTATCAATTGTTTGAAAAAGCCCAACTCTGCCCAACATTTTTGAAGATAACTTTGGTGCTGTCTGGTGGTTTTGCAGAAATACAAACGATCGAAGACAAAAATAAAGTCTAATTCACGTTTGCTCACTTTGTCTCTGAGTCTCTCCAACATTGCTTTGAACACTACAGTTTTCAGAAAAAGAGTGAGCACAGTGACTGTTTTATAGGTGTGTAATGGTCTTAATATGGGTCCTTAACATCTTGGCTCTTTCCACGGACCAACAATTTGTGAGGCTTCCATTTCGGTGGACTCTTCTCACAGATCACAGATTTACCTAAGCCTACATTAGAAAGTTGCAGCTTTATTTGTCACATTTTTTTCAGAGGTTAAGGAAACCAGTGGGCAAGGCCCAGAGCAGTCACAATTAGGACAAAGGTAACATGTCCCTGCGGGATGGAGGAGGGTGGGGTTAGGGTAAGGAACAAGGGATACCTAGATGAAGTAGATGTAGTTGAGCACACTTTAGTTGAGTACGCCAGCTAGTGGACCCCATAGGTTCATAAAATCATTTCAAAAGGGCTCAGAGAGATGGAGAAGTCTAAACTAGAGGAAGGAAAACTTCACCAAACAGACCCAAAGCAATCTCATCTCAGCTGTCAGCAAATGCCTAGAGAATTTTAGAGGAGAAACTAGACAGTTAAATGCCGTATCTGAACATTCTGTTAGCTCAGTTACATCATCTTTTTAATAAGTATCAGGAAGGAGGACTATGCTTTCCAGTTGCTTTGCAGCCATAATATGCTGAGCTGGGTAAACCATATTTGATCCAGTATAATAATACCAATGTTGCCAAGTCTTTTTGGGGGTGAGGGGGGCACGCAGCATGTGGGATTTTAGTTCCCTGACCAGGAATCGAACTGTGCCCCCTGCAGTGGAAGCACGGAGTTTGTTTTGTTTTGTTTTTAATTTATTTATTTTAATTGGAAGCTAATTACTTTACAATATTGTGGTGGTTTTTGCCATACATTCACATGAATCAGCCATGGGTGTACATGTGTTCCCCATCCTGAACCCCCCTCTCATCTCCCTCCCCATCCCATCCCTCAGGGTCATCCCAGTGCACCAGCCCCGAGCACCCTGTCTCATGCATCAAACCTGGACTGGCGATCTATTTCACATATGATATTATACATGTTTCAATGCTATTCTCTCAAATCATCCCACCCTCGCCACATGGTTCAAAAGTCTGTTCTTTACATGTGTCTCTTTTGCTGTCTTGCATATAGGGTCATTGTTACCATCTTTTTAAATTCCATATATATGCATTAATATACTGTATTGGTGTTTTTCTTTCTGACTTACTTCACTCTGTATAACAGGCTCCAGTTTCATCCGCCTCATTAGAACTGATTCAAATGCATTCTTTTTTTTTTCCATTTATTTTTATTAGTTGGAGGCTAATTACTTTACATCATTGCAGTGGTTTTTGTCATACATTGAAATGAATTAGCCATGGATTTACATGTATTCCCCATCCCGTTCTCCCCTCCCACCTCCCTCTCCACCCGATCCCTCTGGGTCTTCCCAGTGCACCAGGCCCGAGCACTTGTCTCATGCACCCAACCTGGGCTGGTGATCTGTTTCACCCTAGATAATATACATGTTTCGATGCTGTTCTCTTGAAACATCCCACCCTCACCTCCCAGAGTCCACAAGTCTGTTCTATACATCGGAGTCTCTTTTTCTGTTTTGCATACAGGGTTATCATTACCATCTTTCTAATTCCATATATATGTGTTAGTATACTGTAATGGTCTTTATCTTTCTGGCTTACTTCGCTCTGTATAATGGGCTCCAGTTTCATCCATCTCATTAGAACTGAGTCAAATGAATTCTTTTTAATGGCTGAATAATATTCCATTGTGTATATGTACCACAGCTTTCTTATCCATTCGTCTGCTGATGGACATCTAGGTTGTGGAATTGGGGAGTTTTAATCACTGGACCACCAGGAAATCCCCCAAGCCATCTAGTCCATCGACATTAAGTTGCCATCCTTCATTTCAGTTCAAGTCCAGGGGGAACAAAATCTCCTTGGATTATGATTATCCATGGTTTCCAATGAAACAAGGTTCTAAATCTTTAAAAGAACTAATTTTAGATGACTTGATTCATTGCATCATTGAGGGCCATCCAGCACTTAAGGTTTACAGTGTTGTAAAAGATTAGTGGCCAAAATCAAATTTCCTCCTTTTTAATTACTAACATAAGCTGTTGAAATACTTTCTAGGCCCAAGGTGGAGCCACTCCTGCCTAGGTGCCACATCAGCAAACCAAAATTTAGATCACTTTTGTATCCCTTTAAATGCTCTGCTTGACCAGAAATGCAGTACAATTGTCCCTAGCATCAGTGGGGGATTGGATCTAGGACCTCTGGGGAGACCAAATTCCGTGGATGCTCAAGTCCCTTATAAAAATGGTAGTAGAGTTGGTTCTTTACATCTGAATTCTGCATTGAATTCAACGAACCAGGGGTTAAACTTAATCCGAGTTGGTTGAACCTGTGGTTGCTCAACCTATGGATATGGTGGGCCAACTGTGTGTGTAGTCAGCCAACACCCAGACAGCAAGCCAACTCTGAGGTCTATACCTATTTCTCATTCCAAACAAGGCTCACTATGTGGCCAACAGCTAATTAGATATTTTCTACTTTTCTCTTCCTTGTTGGTTATTATCTATCCCATAGAAGCTTCCTGCCTTTGTCCTATTTTGTGGTTCTTTGAATCTGTTTCAAAAAGTGTTAAATAAAATCTATCACTGGCATTGTCTTCTTTAATCATTTTTAACAAGCATTTTATGTCTTTTTAATGGCATTTAAAAATCACATCGACATGGTACATCACTGCTTACATCTTTCTGGGATATAAACTTATTTCATATCTGTACTTTGTTAAGATTTTAAACATTTTTCCAACTGCCCATGTAAACATCATTACACCTCTGTCAGAACACAAAACCTGCACATTTTAATTTTGTATAATGTTCATAA